CTAATTTTCTTTCCTTATTCTATGCACTCTGCAAATAGCTAAAGGTACAGCAAATCCCATGTATGCAGGACTGATTTCCTCTTTGGCAGAGAACGCAAAGCAAATTTACCCAGACAGAGTGCCTGTCATTTGCTTGGAGTCAGATGCATGGTAAGTAACTTTTTGAACATAGGTCTAGGATGCAAGAGTTAAACATCAGTGATCAAATAATATTTTAGTGAGGCTGAAAAATGCATGAGGGTCTCACAGTTAACCCTTTCACTCCCAAGATCTCTGGAGTAGTTCTCCTTACTGTCTACTGTACAATTCTCATGATGTGATTATGGAGAATTTGGTATTGGATGTTGAAAATAATAATACCCATATTGTGCTTTTTTTTAATTCTCATCATCTGTCTGATTGTATTGATATGGTCATGATGAGCAAATCTTTTGTGACATTTCCACTGCTTGTGCTAGGCATTAATCCTATTTTATTGCAGTAATAATAATAGTAATAATAATAGTAATAATAATAGTAATAATAATAATAATAATAATAGTAACTGATCCGCGACATTTATTCACAAGTTAAAATGAATTTAGCAGCAAATATAAAACGTATGGTTCCTTTTAATAGTAATGATAAAATTAAAAAGCTAATTGGGGACACCAATTTAATTGACAGTAAAACTTATTAGAAAAGTAATTGAGATAATTTCATCCACTGTTCATTGATTATTCTCATCTAAGAGTTAAAATATGAAATCTTCATGTACAATCAAAAACCTGTAATCTATTGTTTGAATTGTCTTTTGATGAAATTACCTCTTCCGGCCAAAAGTAAAAACAATTATTAACCACAAACACATAGTGTGGTCTGCTTGTGGTTATCTTTGAACAAAATGATTCTCAAAATAGTTTTATTATTAATCGTTATTATTTATCAATTATTAACCACAAACACATAGTGTGGTCTGCTTGTGGTTATCTTTGAACAAAATAATTCTCAAAATAGTTTTATTATTAATCATTATTATTTATCAATTATTAACCACAAACACATAGTGTGGTCTGCTTGTGGTTATCTTTGAACAAAATAATTCTCAAAATAGTTTTGATAACAAGAGAGTTTATGGAGACCAGTCAGGGAAATTGATAACTTGACTGTAAGACCCTTTGGAACAATGGGGGTTGAACTAAAACTCCTCTTAATGTTATTATTTTCTTATTATTTCTTCTTTCAGTAATCTGCTTGTGAGATCAGAAGGAAATGTCACAGTTGCCATCCATAAAGTTCCCTCATAACATACATAACAGTTGGAAACATGAAATTATTATAGTCCCAATTTTTGTTTGTAAATGAACTTTGAATTTTCTATCAATAAAAGAAAATAAAGAATATCTCTGAGTGAAATTAAAAACAAATTTTGATGTGTTCCATTAGGGAGAATGTAGGCTGGGTGAGGCTGTATATTTGTAAACTATTCCTAATGAGCAGCAAGGTATTGATGAAAAGGGAATATCCCCCTGAATTGTGGACAAGAAGTCTGCACCAGGAGGTCTGAAGAGATTAAGCATCTTTATGGCATTTCTGTAACCATTAAATGTTCAGAAGTGATGAACCTGTAACTTCTCCTTCCGATTCCAATATGTTATCTTACAAACTGGTAGGGAGAATAGGCAAGCTTATCAGCAAGAGTTTGTGATGTTGTTACACATTTTGCTTTGTTTTCATATGAAACAAAAGATTCCAAATTGCCGGAATGTGTACAGGTATAGATAACAGAAGACACTAAGTGTGGTAAGAACATAAGAGAGTTGGCAGTGCCTCGTGTGTCATCTGTTTTGTTCTTCATTAGCACATTTTTATGTCAGCTGTGATCCATTACTGAACAGAAGCACTGCAACATGAAATCTTTTTGTTAAACATATCATTGGTTGCTCTGTACTCCATTATTACTTTAAGGCAAAGATCTTCCAATAAGAGTTACAGTGCACATAATCCACTCTGACTAGTTATAAATCAGTCTAAAACAGGCATACCTTTCACGGTCAAAGCGATGGATGGAAATATAGAGAAGTTTAGGAAAAAATATAGATATAGACTTGTTACGACATAGACTATTTACCACCCAGGTGAGTGATAAAAGACAAAAAATAAGCTGGGGATTGGTTTGCTTGTAATTGGACAGGTACAGGAGTGACTCTCCTGTGTCTAAAATCTCAAATCATGATGATCTTTATGACTAAGTTTCTTTGATGAAGTATGCTCACTTGACTAAAATGATATAGATTACGTGCTCTTTAAATGTCTGAAAAGAATTTCTACAATGCATATATCCTCATCTAGGATGGCTGGGCCAGCAAATCGAAATGTAACTTTCTCAGCAACCAGCTCCTTCTTAATTTGTCTTCGATAACTAAATCGTTCTCCTTTGATTGACGCTTTAAGGATGTAAGGTAGATCGGGATTTACCAAGTGGTATTGCTTAAAGATAATGTAAAAACCATTTCTGCCGTCCCATCTCTCTTCGCTCAGGAAACAACCCTCCGAGACAAATTTATCGTTGAGTTTTAGTGTAACTGTATATTCCTCTCCTTCTTTCCCACTGATGAAAATTCCTCCAAGTACGATTGGAATATTGACAGAGAATGAGGTGGATTCAGTAAAGTCGCCAGAACGAGGTCTTAACGGACGGGTCCCCCAGGGGTAAGTTTCAATGACTCTATTGCAACGCCGCAGATGCAAAATGTTTAGACACCTTGGAAAGCAAGAAAACTCTCTGGGAATCCGATTTACGCTAAAATACATAAACATTTCAATGATCTCAGTGTCTGTGAGTATTTTGGTGTCAACAACATTTTCAGCAAATACACTCTGTGGCATAGAAGGGAAACGTATTAGCTTCAAAATTTCTTCCCCAATAATTGTCCTTTTTTCCTTTCCACTAGGAGTTTTTCCTTGTTTTGCACAAATAGTCTCTGCCCAGCGATTCACAGCTTGAAAAACATCCACCTCTTGGACAACAAGACTATCTCTCTTCAATATAGGAACCAGATGAGTGTTGCCTTCCAGAATTGCATCAGGGGCAGATTCAAGGACCTTCGCTGTACGTGTATCAATAACTTTCCAGCAAACACTATACAAATGGGCCTCCTCCATTTTTTCTACAACCGGCAATACATCCAAGACATTTTCAGCGTTGATATTTTTCTCTAAGAAGCTTCTACAACGGTCTGCTAGCGACGGAATCATGTACTTTTTGGCCAAGTAGAGCACTTGGATAACACAATCTCCTGTCAATTTGACCTTGTCGCAATAGAAGAAACGTAAGAACTCAAGAAATCCCTCTGAATCGCAGTCAGGGAGATCAATATAATCAGAGGGTTCTTTAAGGTCACCATAGAACATCTTATAGAAAACAGGGCTGCTGACAGCCAGGATAAATTTGTGACAAGGGATGTTGACTTTACAAGAAGAACTTTGCCCATCTGCGACAGTGAAGTATACATCAGCCATAAGCGGGTTTCTGTACATGTGCTTGATTCGCTCGCAGACTGTGTTCTTAGTGAGCTGCCATTCACACACATCGTCAGTAGTGCTTACTGTAGCCATATTCAAATAGATGTGGAAGGCGAAAAGTGTCCGTAGTTTGAAGCGATGTTGATTTTCTAGAGGATCGCATAAGCGGAAGTGAATAACATGAGCAAGCCTGGAACGAGTGGAAAAACTGTCAGCGGATTAGACCCAAAAAGGAAATGCAATTTATGTACAACTAGAGTTCACTACGCCCTCCTACTGGGTTTGTGTCGAAATCCTCCACAACTCAGACGATGGAGAAATCCATAGATTCGCATTTAGATGACATGTAAGCCAGTTGTTTACTTTCTTTTACCTCATAGTATCTTATTTCTATCACCATTATGTGTATTTATCCCGTTTGCTATTCTTCTAGAATGTCTGAACATGGCGTCATTGGAGTATTATGTAGCGATCAGCAAGGACTAGCTTTGTCAGGTTCGTGAAGTTTATGTCAAGTTTACAATTCTCTTATAAACTATATTACACCCAGTTCTCTTCTTGCCATTCTTAGCTTCGGCATTCAACACCAATATAATGTGTTTTTGTATTATTTGAAGGTAATTAGTAATAAGTCACTGGTAAATCACATGACATTTATTTTAATAAGCTTTTTGTCATAATTTTTTCTGAACATATATAATGCACTTAGTTTAATAAACATAAATTCTCTACTCGCTTACAGTCAGAGTCGGTTGTTTTGGGGAGGTTGGGAAATTATTGTTTTTTTCCTGTCAAGTAAGCAAGACCCTTGTGCAGTACAAGAATACTCAGCATTAAATCAAATCAATAACTAAAAATTGTTTATAAGGAAAACCTTTACATCACCAAACTAGCAGGTACAGTGTCAGTTCATCAGTTTGTATAATGTTTCTACTCTCTATTGTAAATCTACATGATTGTTTATTCTTGTTGAGATTTTGTTAGTGTTTTAACCCTTTAACCTCCAGATCAAATTTTTAGTTCTCCTTACTGCCAACCATACAATTCTTATAATGTTAGTTCAAAGAATTTAGTATTGGATCAACTAATTATCGCTAAATTGATATATTTCTTTATTCTCATCACTTATTTGGTTGATATTGTATTGATATTGTAAGGAGAAATTCTGTCTCGGTCACTCATGGGAGTTAAAGGGTTAAGCTGTCAAGAACTGTCTCAACTGACTTTTGTTGCACCCATTTCCTCACAGCAGGGTGTTGATGAAAAGGGAACATCTCCTTGAATTTTAAGGCAGATAGTCTGCATCAGGAGGTCTGAAAGGATTAAGCATCTCTATGTCATTTCTCAAACCATTTAATGCTCAGAAGTGTTTAACCTGCGACTTCTCCTTCCAATTCCAATAATTTATGTTATCTTACAAACTGATAGGGAGAATATAGAAGCTTCTCAATAGGAGTGTGTGATGTTGTTATAACACCAAATTCCCCTTTTGTTTTTACACTCAGTATGGAGAAATACTAATTGGATCTTGGAACTTAAAAGGATAAGGGGCTGAGGTGGTTGGGGGGGGGGGGGGGGGGGGGGGGGGGGTGGAAGACGTTGCCGTGACACCAAATAACTCACTGCAAAAAGGTAAACAAAAGTCAGGTTCTTAAAACTTTCTCGCTCGTTCGTTATCAAAATCCGAAAACACTCTCGAGACGTTTTGACAGGAGGTAAACTAATTTGCATAAGGCGAGGCTGCTAAGTTAACCTGTTACGCAATATAAATGAAAACATTCCGATCAAGGACATGGTGTTTTGTTATCAGTAGTTATCAATTCCCTTTCTTTCAAGGGGGATGGGAGGGTAATGTTTTAGCACCTGGGGACCCCTTCTAGCCTTGAGCTCCATCCCTAGACACTTCTTAGT